CAAATATGTCCTGGCCAGTTTACAGCCAATGGGAGCTGCGATGATTGTGCTGGGGCAGCACCCAAAGTAACACCCCTCCTGTGAAAGGGGCACAGAGTGGCAAGAGGCACATGACCCCCGCAGGCAGCTGCTTTGTGCAACCTGAGGTTGAGGCAGGAAGGGAGGCTGCCTGAGGGTCCCAGCAGACCATGGGCTAGATCCAAAGTGCTTGGTGGGCGAAATCTGGCCCACAGGCTGTATTTTGCTCACCTCTGCTGTATACAGTAAGACTGGGGCCAGTCAGTGGTTTCTGGTGAATATTACAGTTGCCCCCCCAACGGAGGCTGCTGTTGGGGAGAGATTTGCTTTCATCATGTTACCATCTTCATTCTGTTGTTCTATATCCTACTGGTCCTCTGTGTTGCTTTTATGCCTAGTTTCTTTTCAATCACTTGTGCAGCAGGCCATCTGACGCCCAAGACTCATGTCCTGTTCCTGGATGCCCTATATCCAGACTGTCTGGGTGTGCTGTCTGCCACTATCGTGTAGATGCCTTCAGTTTCACCTCCACTGCTGCAACTACCTCATATGACCTGTGTCCCATTGCAGCTTGGCCTGTGGCTTTTTGTCATTGCTTTGTGTGACTATTTGATAGTTAGATGTCAGATGGCACTGTATGTACTGTCTTTAGTAGGGCAGGGGATGCTAATTAATTTTCTTCATTATCAACCTGACAAATTGGTATTTACCAGTTTAAAATAGATTATCTAGAGGACAACCAACCAGGAAAACACCCTTAGCCCTGGTCTAAACTAGGGATGTTAGATATCAGTTAATTGAATAGCCAAGTATCTGCATGAATTTCTGTCATTTACTCTACTATTCTATAATCCCTTGGAGTGGGGCTAGCAGCCAGAGCACTCCTGGCCCCATGCCCGGGGAACTCCTGCAAGCCCACGCTGCTGCCTCTGTATCAGACCGCACAGACCAGCTGCCTGCCACCCTGTGCCACTGCCTCAAATACAAAGGCAGCAGTGTGGGGTGGCAGCAGCCCCTGTCTGTTGGGTGGGATGTGTGGGGGGTCTGAGCTCCCTGCAGACAGAGACTGCTTCATGGCAGCCTCCCCTGCTCTCTCCTCTATGCTGTTGATAGAGGCAGCAGTGTGGGGGGAAAAGGGGCAGGCAGCTCCAGAACTGGCTTTTAAACTGGCTGCCCCAGGCACCAACTCTTGCTAGTGGCAGCAGGGGGGTGAGGGGGAATGTGTGGTTTACTCTTATTGGTTAATCATACAGTCCACTAAATGTTAACCTCCCTAGCGTGCCCTAGCCTCAGAGCACAGAAAGGGCAGGCCCTGGAGGCAGCCACACTCCACCCCCAAATTGCCTGCAGTAGGCATTCTGGGGGCAGAGTGCAGGGCCAGCCCACTACATTTTGGCACCTGAGGCGGGGAGCTCAAATGATGCCCTCATGTCCCCTCACTTAGGCCAAAACTTTGCAAGGTCTCAATTTTGGCTTCTTCCTGTTCTACTCCTCTCATGGTACTGCTCTGCTACCTTCATATGCACTAGCAGCAGACACAATTTTCTACACTCTGGATCCTAGTGGCACCCCCCCCAGTCTGGCACCTGAGGCACCTGCCTCAGTTCACCTTGTGTCAGGGCAGCCCTGGCCATGTGAGCAGAGCCAGGCTGGCAGTTTGGGAAGGCTGCGCCTTCCCTTGCCTAGCACACTGGCCACCCATGCTGTTTGCAATGCTATGAAACACCTCCAGTCTCCTGCTGCATTGTTTAAGTAATCAGATTAGAGAGTGAATGTAGCCATGAACTTATCTTAAAATACATTTAAGTCAAGCAGAGCCACTTCAAAAAGACAAGAGAGCAGTGAGCACAAGGCTGTTACAGAACAGGGGCAGGCACAGGCACCAGGGCAGGGTCAAACCAGGGCCAGCTCGAGCCATTCCTGCGCCCCAGGCATGCGCGGCTCTGTCCCCGGGCACATGGCACATGCATGGCCCCACCCCTGGGCGTGCTGTGTACCTTACAGCTGCCATCAGGTGCACAGCGCCTGATGGCAGCTCTAAGGGGTGCCATGCAGCCCCTGCCCCGGGCGCACGGCGCCTGATGGGAGCTCTACCACTGGGTGCGCAGCGCCCCTCACCACTGCAATCAGGAGCCCCCCATAGGTTGGCACCCCGAGCAGCTGCCCGGCTAGCCCCCTCCCCCCCCCCTTAATCCAGCCCTGGCTCAAACCCATAGCTAAACTTCTGGGCTACAGAGGAAGTCAGAAGTAGCGCCTCACCTAGCCAACATTTAAACAAAAAGCTGCCACAGGTAAGAGGGCAGTAAATCCCCCGCCCCACCATGCAGCACAATTGTGTTTGAAACCCCTCCGAAGCCCTTCTTAATGCAAGCAGATGGAAGGTTCAAATTCAGAGCATCACTAAGCAAGGTAGGTAATTAACCATTGGACAACAAAGTGCAGAGTTGATGCTACCTCAATAATATTTAACTAAAGTGTATCAGATTCAATAGGTAAGCTCAAGGGACCTCCAGCCTCCATCACCATAGCTAGGTGTATAACCCAAGCATGTACATGGGTTGTAGCACATTCCTCTTCAGTAAGCAGAAAGGGGATTTTACCCAGTAATTCCCCTAACACACCAGAGAAGCCACCGCTGGCCTAGGGAGGGAGTCTCATACACCTCACCTCAGTACTGTACTTATTAAAATGAAACATTGTGGAAGCCCTCAGCACTGTAGCCCATGAGCCAATGATCAGGGCATTCACCTAGGCAGCAGGTGAATCTTCAGCTCCTATCTCATGAGGCAAGGAGGAAATTAAGCTGGTACGAATGGCCAGACTGGATCCAGCATGGCCTAGAGCCGTGGTCCCCAACACGGTGCACGCGGGCGCCATGGCGCCCGTGGGGGCATTTGCATGCGCCCGCCAGGTGCTCAGGGCTGGCCTGGCCCCGGGCACATGGCGCGGCACTTGCGGGGAGCGTCGGCCCCGGGTGCGC